TTTTTTTTAATTTATGGAAAAGGGTTTTGGATGGTGGCAGATGAGAGGTGAGGTGGAATGAAAGTCCCCCTCCCCAAAATGGGGACTACTGTTATAGTACCTGGTGTTCACTCCACACAGCTGAGATCACAGTGTGGCAGAAGAAGAAACACGAGCAAACAAGGAACACCCTTTTAAAGAACAAAACATTTGCCGAATACTGAGGCAAATTGGGCAAAATCCCAACATGGCTTATGAACTGTGCAAATCGTTCCTTTATTACAGCTTTCTAGTATTCAAAAAGGTAACATGCAGTTGCGATCCATTATAGCAAAGGTAGAAGAAAATGTTCTTCAGACTAGCTATGCTTTTGGTGATATAGTTTTATTACTAAATGTCCTAAGTAACAGCATGTTATTCCAAAATAGCAGCAGACTTTATTTCTTGGAAGACAACAATATATATGGATACTCACCAATTAAGGCTGTCATAAAACGATTCATGGAAAGAGGTTCTAAATACATTGGCCCTTCATAGCCAGATTCCAGTTCGCTCCTCACATAATCCCTGAAGAACACAATGAAATATATTAGCATACCTTTTAAAAATGGAGGTGAATAATCTTTTAACTTTATAGATGAAAGACCACTCTCTGTAAGCAATTTTGCTTTATAGAGAGGGAAAACGATGCCAGGCATGTGCTAACTTCACACAGAAAATACTTCAAGGCTCAAACTGATTTTCATGGATTATTCCTCCAGCAAATTGAACTGTTACCTTCTCCCCTTGTTAGCACTACAGGGCTTTGTGAATTTTCCATACAAGCATGTACAGAAAACCAATCATGTGCTTGCCTGCTCACTTTGTACACTCCTCCCTTTGTGTGCTCAGTTTCAACACTTATATGGCAGCTTGCAAATGCAATTACTATACATCAGACCTGGGCAAAGTGTGGCCTGCGGGCCACATACAGCCCAAGAGGCGCTCCTGTCTGGCCTGCCTGTCGCCACTCCTGTCCGGTCCGCCCATCACCGTTGAGTGAGCCGGAGCTCCAGCTCCGATCACCCAGCACAGTAGTAAACAAAACTCGTGAGATCCGACGCTGGGATCTTGCAAGTTTTCGCTGTTACTGTTGAGCCGCAGGCTGCCAGAAGAGATCCTTGCACAGGCGACATGATGGCACATCACATCACCTGCCCAGGATAGAAGACCGTTGGAGAGGAAGGCCGCGGGGGGAACGAAGGACAGGTGAGTTAGTTCAGTGTTGGGTCCCCCCCCCCGTGGTGAACGAATTAAAAGGCTGGCATAGTTAACTCCCTAAAAAGTTCAGTCTTGTAGTTCATTCACCACAGGACCTCACCCAATGGGGGTCTATTACTACCCACAAATTGGGGGCCTATTACTACCCACCCCCAAACACCTACCCACCCCCGAACACAGTTCAGATTTTTCTTGTGGCCCCCTACAGAAATTAATTGCCCACCCCTGAACCACAATAATTGCTGTTTAATTTCTGCTTACTAGTCGAGGAATGAAACCAAGATAACAACATCTAAGGCAGTGAAAAGCAAGAAAAAGGGAGCATGAGAGCAGGCACATCATTTATTTTCAGAGCAACTACAGCTTTTTGGTCCAAGACGATTATATCTGAACCTGGTCAATGTTAAGAGGAAAAATTATACAGCTGGCTATTTCACCACAATTGTGCATGTCTGGAAACCACTCTTACATCCAAGCATCCTAAAAAGTGGTGGTCGCTCAGTCTTTAGAAATGGTGATATACTCATTTTGCCAACAAATTACTCTAGAAACATTCAGCAAAACATTCTATGTGAAGCAGTCTTCAGGGAATCTGTAAGTGAGCTCATCTTTGAATTTTTCTTCTTGTAAATTAAACCATATGCCGTGTCTTTTGTAAGTCTAGAAATTTATTCAAATTGAACGCCAGCCATTGAAAAGAGAATTACAAAAACCTGATGTTTGCAACTAGCTCAGCCATCCTATTATATTTTTTGAAAATGATGTCAAACTTATTTTTTTCTTTTAAAAAAATCAGCTTTATGACTCATGCTTTCTTCTTGTTTTGAGAGCAGGAGCACAAACATTGAAACTACTGCTCTACCATCAAGCAGAGCAACTTTCATGTAAATATGACATCTGTATCCCAATCAAAAATATTAAATATTGAAGGTGCTGCAGCTTCAAATAACGAAGCTTTGAAACCAAAAGGGTTGGACAAGACAAGGGAAGACAGCACTCCTGATCACGTTGGCTAGAACTGACAGTCCAGGAACATTTGAAGCCATATTTTTTTCCAGTCAGTTCTTCCACATTACATACAATCTTTTATATTGTGTACAGTGGAATCTTTACTTATGAACGTCCCTACCTATGAACAATCCAACTTACGAAGAGCTCCATTCGCAAAAATTTGCTTCTACTTGCGAACGGAGCTTCAACATACGAATGAAAAAAAGGCAGGGGAAAAGGGCGGGAAATTTAAATTTGCTAACCGTTGGTGGGGAAGACGCTGCTTCTTTCTAGCTCTTTCTTCCCAACGGTTAGGAAAAGGGAGGCTCAGCCTACCGGGCTTCCAGCGTTGCTGCCACAGGCTTTCCTGGCTTTCGTCCCAAGCGCCATGGTGGCGAAGAAGCCGCGCAGTGGGGGGGAAAGGCGGCACTTGCAGCTAGCCCCGAGAAAGTCTCAGAGAAGCTCTGGCCCGGCAGCAGCAGCTGGAGCCCAGGAGGCCTCCTGGCAGCGGCGGTCACGGCGATGGAGGTAAGGTGTTGCCTTTTGCTTCTTTAAAATTTTTTTGTCTTTTTCAGGGTGGGATTGGGCTGGTGGGGTTATATTTGTTTATTTTTGGATTTGTTTTGTTTTTTTGCAGCGCCAGGGGCTTGCAATGTTTTTTTTGGGGGTATTTTTTTTCTTCGGCCGGAACAGATTAAACGGTTTTCAGTGCATTCCTATGGGAAATGGAGCTTCTACTTACGAATGTTTCAACTAACGAACATCGTCTGGGACGGATTAAGTTCGTACGTAGAGGTTCCACTGTATAGTTCTAGAACCTTTCTCTCTCCTACATCTAAGGGAAAACATGTATAGGAGGCTAGAATTTTAAGCACAGAACAGTAAGATGCTGTTGAACCATTCTCATGTTAACCCTCATTAACACCTCCCAAGTTTTTTTTCCTCTCTTTTGACAGAAAATTGTGATCTATACATTATTTCTCTGTGAATGGAGATCAACCTGAACAACAAAACAGCTAGCAGGAAGAGTACTGAGCGCATGCCTCTTTAGCAACCCTCTATGCTGTTTAAGATTACAGCTCACTCCCCCAAGTCTGTTTTTCCAATGAGGGACAAACAAATGAGGGGGGAAATTTGTGGTACTAGATTGTGAAATTTGATTTTCACCCCTGACAGAAGAATGTGATCTTCAAAAGCCTGGCTTGCAAAAAACAGAGCAATATAACCATTAAACCAAACAACTGATGGAACAGTTATGAGCTATAAACCAAGAGAGAGACCAACCTTTGTCTCTATTCAGCACTGAGAGATACAATATTAATTTTATTACTTGTTTATGCAGGCATCTCTCTAGTCCATTTATCCTGCATAGCCAACTGCATAGCCAACTCTAATTCTGTTCTTGGACCTTTGCCAATCACAGAGATGGAGAGGGAAATACTCTAGGTTTGCTCAATAGCCGTGTTTTCTTATGCACTCGCCACACATTACGTTTATCTTCTACATGACCAAACTGAAGTATTCTGAAGTAGTACACACTTCAAGCATTTCTTCCATATATCTGTGACACGTTTGCTACTTCACTGCAGATATTTAAGTAATGACTTGACACAAGTACATGGAGATTATGCTGAAGTGGCTCTCTTTAGGTCACAACCTGAAATTAAAATGCATGAGATGACACAAAAAAATCTAGCAAATCGGTTGTGGTGGCACATGTTGTCCTTCTTCCCTCTTTATTACACACTTTCTCTCTGTGTTCCTTTAGCCAAGAGTCAGTGATCTCACATTCGGGAAATCCATTTTGGGGGTGGGCAGGGAGGATTTCCCACCAGCACTTCTATTCCCTACCCCTGTTTTTTTTTAATTTCTCCCAAAAGAAGAGGAATATTAACACTATTATCCAAATGAAACGACTGCAGCTGTATGTGGGGCTGCTGTTGAGCAGTATTCAGAAATTTGATTGAGACTGCAATCCTATAACTGCCTAGATCTCGGCAAGTCGCATAGAATTCATCAGAAATTTGATTGAGACTGCAATCCTATAGCTGCCTAGTTTCATGGAATTCATAGCTGTAGTTTTAGAAGAAGTAGCCATGTTAGTTTGTGCTGGCAAGTTAGGCAAAAGCAAAACAATTTTTAAAAAATAAATAAAGTCGTCTACTTCTTCAGCCATGGCCACAAAAGCTCACATTAAAATATAGTAATTAGCCTTTAAAGTGCCACAACATTGTTGTCACCTTTATTTATTTATTTTTTGTCTGGCATGTCATGGCATTCAATGGGACTTCTAACTTCAGATATCTAATCTTGGGCATAACTTTCGGATTGGATGCTGGAAACCAATAATCAAAAGCTTCATTTTTCTCCCCTGCACCTCCATTTTACATTCTGAGACTCTCTAAGGCTCCTTTTTTGACCTGGGGAACCTTTGGGAGTTCAAGGATGGTGACGGGAGTCTTGTAAGTGAAGAATTACTGCCAGATTGCCAGTGGTGAGCAATCCCCATCGCAATGGTATACAATGTGCAGTGATCCAGCAGCAATTTTTTTACTTAGCCCTCTCTGTCCTGAGGCTCCCAAAGGTTTCCCCAGGGCAAAAAAGGAGTCCTACAAAGCCTGATAACCTTTAAAAAAAGGGGGGGGGGAGGAAGCTTTTAATTAGTACAAATTACATTTTTCAGGTGCCTGATCCAAGTCATGCCAGGTGCAAAGTTACAAAAGAGAATTTTGCCCATTGTATTGTTAGTCAAAAGTACATGAGAAAATATAGTTATTTTGCTCAGTGGGACTGGCCATCTGACTGCTGGTCCCTTTCCATCACTGTCTGTCCATCTCCAGTCACAAGTCAAAGCGATGGCACCTACCTTCAAAGCCCTGGATGGCTTGGGGCTTATGTACATGAAGGACCAACTTTCCCTTCAAAAAAGCTGTCTACATACAGTGGTGCCTCGCAAGACAAATGCCTCGCAGGACAAAAAACACGCAAGACAAATGGTTTGGGCAATGGGGTAGTGGGGTGGTTGATGATTCGCAACACAAATGTTCCTATGGCCGTGCTTCGCAACAAGAATGTTTTCCGTTTTTTGTTCCTGCCTCATGTTTGCTGATTTGTAAATGTTTTTCTATGATGTTTAAAAAGTTAAAGTTTTTTGACTGAAATTTTTAAAATCATCTGCACAATATTTATGGCTTTAAAGAGCACTTAATAAAACCCTTTGTAAACCAAATGTGACTTTTTTTCTGACTTTTTTTACCCAAAGGAACGCATTAATTAGATTTCAATGCATTCCTATGGGAAAACGCGTTTCGCAAGAT